TGTAGCACTTCATGAATTTCATAAGCAACACACCTTAGTTGTTCACACAAAGCATAAAGGTAAAAAACAATATATACAGTGTTATCTTCATGTTAGATGTCAAAAAGTATCTGCGGCTCCCAGTGTTTTCCTTTGTGTGGAACCCGGGTCCAATGGCTCTTTGGGTGTTAAAGGTTGCTGACCCCTGCACTAGTATGTATATTCACACATCACATTCCTTGGCAATCACCTAACAGTGAAGTAAAATGGCATTCATAGAATATAACAGCTCAGGCGCATGGGCGTGTATTGGAATATTTAATATGTTTAAATAAAGAAAGTGTAAAACACTCACAAATATGCTGTTGCTGAGGAGAACGTGTGTGTCATTCAGGTCAAAGTCAAACTTGATGACATCTCCATCCCGGTTCCTGTAAACCACCTGTGAATCTGATAATGGAGAGAAAAATACGTAAGACATAAAAGAGCCAGGAAAACATGTTTTTAAAAAAAACAGTACACTCAGAATTAGATACAGACCACAAGATACCACAATAAAGCCCAAGTTCAGTTCATGTGATTGTCTGTTATCTTGCTAAAAAAAATTTAAATTACCAGAAAAATTTTAGACTCAATATGTGGAGGGTTCCAGACAAAGTGCAGAACCAAGACAACAAGAACATGTGGACAAGAAGACAAGTGATGAGGGGTAAGTGGTAACACCACGAAGACCAAACCTCTTCATGTACCATCAACAGATAAAGGATGAGGCTGACTTCAAGAAGTCCTACCAGTGGGGCAAGAAAAGGCAAGTGTTCTGATCATGGCTGCAAACTCATGCCCTGAGCACAGTAAGTGTCACAGAGGCAGCACTGAAGGTGCACGTGTGCAAAGAAGCTCTGGGACAGTCCAGCTGCTCATGACAGTAATTGTGTAATAGTGTACAGGAACATTTGTGCTCGTTAAAAGCTCACAAGTCCCACTGGGACACTCCACTCCAGCGCTCAAGTCCTGTGGGACCTCAAGTTCCAGACAGATAAGCCGCTGCTGGCCAACCAACCAAAGAAAGATACGTCAGACACGGAGAAAAAAAGGCAGTTTTTATAAATGTGGCTGTCCCAGCTGACGGCATCGGGAAGGAGTATGAGAAGATGTTCAGAGAAAAAAAACTTTGACTGAACTTCTAGTCTTACAGACTTTCTTGGATCGTTAGTGTACAGAGGACTAAAATGTACATTTTCCATGTATTCATTACTCTGTAAAGAACCAGCGATTCATTCAAAATGCATTAAAGACAAAGTTTCCCTCAGAAGTTTGCTGGTTGATGATGATTTTGTGCCCTTAAAGTGGATTCTGTGTTCTGTGACTGAGATGACCATGGAGTCAAAACAGGACGGCAACCTCTTTGAAACTAGGAAAACAAAAATAGTGGTTGCCTGAGAGCGTGCAACACATTCACCTTCTGAATAGTTGCATACTTCACTTTGTGAGAGGCAACCTGTCTCCAACATGCCAACATGTTGCAATCAGTCTGAGTGCAACTCTGAACTACATATAACTACATATATAACAATCAAGTAAATTTCCCTTGATCAGATTCCATTAATTTTAACATTACTTTGGACTTCTGTGACAAAATCACACACAAATATTACATGTAATTAAATTAGTTCAAGTCAGCAATTTGGGGCATATTTTTTTTGAGTGTGTGAGATTCTGGTTGACCTTCTGTCTATGTAGACAGTAGCAGATTTGCAAATTTCACCAGTTTATTACAATTAATAGCTGTAATGCCACAAACAGTACTGACAGTTTTAAAGTATTGCATGTAATTCCCAACTTGACCAACTTAACTTCCCATCTTGAGGCACCAAAGTAATTATATCAAGACAGGAACTGCCTCTGAGTGGCAGGGGCGGAGCGTGGGGGTGGCTTACTGGGCTTAAGCCCGGGTTGTTTTGTCAGAAGCCCGGGGTATTTTGGAGTGTAATTTTTTCAGTTAGATGCCTGGCTGACAACTGTATAAAACAAAAAGTACACACAATATTCGAAGCACATAGTGCACACTGTGGGAATTTACGACTGTGCGTGAATCCCCCCTGATATTGGTATGATCCAAGCTCAGGCACTAAGCGACTGAGCGAGGGGCGGGGCAGCTGCTGCCCGTGAGTGCGCTGTTGGAGAGACTGAGCCAGCCATTCTAAGGAGAGCTTAAGTTTGACCAGGTACCAAAGCAAATCATTCGTACCGTACAAATAATGTAAATATGACGGTGTATCACGAAAGATTGATATCAAACTGATCACTTGACCAATATTACGTTACTCGCTCTTCAAGTGAATCAACAAATGGCGAAATGAAAAGCCGAACAAATGCTATTTTTTTTTAGAGAGTCTTAGCTTACGTGTGTTTATTTCATATTTTCAGTTCTTACCCTCCCCGACTAAATCGGTTTCAGTTATGTACTGAAACATAAGAATGGACATTAGAGGCTTCTTTCAAAGAAAAAAACTCAGGTAAATGTTATTTTATATATTATGCTTTGTATGTTGTTCAGTATATTTCTATGCAAAACAAGAGGAACTTCAATACACAGCAGGATATTCACATTTGTAACCAGATATTTACATACACTTTAGGGAGAAAACGTAAAACATTTTTACTGTACAACATCAATTTAGAGTAAACTTGTTTTAGATAAATATTGAAATATATTTTGAATTAGTTAGATGTCAGAATAAAGAGAGACAGAGCTGTCTGTTTTTTATCACTTTCATCAAATTTAGGAGTACATGTACACTAAGTTTATTGTTAATTAATAAGAAAACTCCAGACGACTCCATTCTGAGCTGAAGAAGCTTCTGATAGGTTGGTAGAGTCCATGTGAGTAAACTGGTGGCACAGCTGTGGATGCATATAAGGCAAAACACAGAGCCTGTTTCTTTGACATGGGAAAATCAAGAGATGTCAACCAAAACACCAGGAACAGAACTGTGGAGCTCCATAAGTGTGGCTCAGTTTGAATACAATTTGGTGCCATTTGCAATTAAGAAATACAGATAGTTTCTCTCTTTACTCTTAAAGTTAACAAATATGTTTTTTATATTTATCAATCTAAAAAAATAAACATTTAGTCTGATTTGATGTTACAATTAAAAAAGTGTTTGTGGTTTTATCTGACGAGTTAGTAAATATCGGGTTTCAACTGTATATTTGATGATGTTGGTGTTTGGCTTGATTGTCAGCACAAAGAGAGAGAGAGGAGAATGGGGACAGAACAGAGATGAACAAGAGCAGGTGAGACACACATGTTAGTCAAATGGTTGTTTACCACCAGTATCACCGTATCATAGGTACTCATGTATCTCGTACCTAGTGTTTCTTTTTAGGTTTGTTATTTTTCAAATTCTATATTTATTAAGTTATGCAGGCTTGTTTGCACAACAAGGCTCAATAATTATATAAACTTTTCTCAATCTAAATATTGTACTTTGGTAAAATTAAAAAATAAGTGTAGTGCAGGTCTATGATGATTTTTAGTGCTACTATCATCTAGTTCTGATTCTGGTTCTCTCTTGGTTAAGTCCTCAGTAGTCCTGATTTTGAACTGTTGTAGTCCTGTTTTAATTCTTGATCAGTTCTGGGTCTGGTTGAATTGGGGTTTAGTCCTCGTGTCTTGATACAGCCCCGACCTTGTTCTGCCTTGCTGCTTAATTAAGAAACTAGTTTAAGGTGTCCTGCACATGTGATATATATTTTTTCCCTATATGAAGTCATTCTTTTTTGAACAAAACTCAAAACAGAGCCAATTAATCTTTCAGTCATTTCTAATCCCCCCCCCCCCCCCCCCCCAAGGGGAAAAAAAAAAATCCCACATGCATACTACCCTTTTGGGCTAAGCCCCGGGTGTTTCAAATGTCGGCTCCGCCTGCTGAGTGGTAGCTGACCTGGTCCTATCGTCTACATCTGGAATAAAATTTAATTTAAAATGTACTTTAATCGATCATTTGAGTTTTGACAAGTCACAAGTTTAAATGATGACAACTGTGTTTTACTTTTATGGAGAGATGAAGTGAACTGATGACAGCCTGAATTAATAAAGAATTTTAAAAAAAGCTCTTACTCGAAGTTTAGTCTGTTTCTGTCAGAATAAAAATGGTGTAAACTTCTGATTTGAATTTCTTGAAAAATCACTCTGCTTCACATGTTAACCACACTGAACCAGAAGCAGCTGTGCCTCCCTCGCTTCCCTCTTCACAAGCTCCTGAAACTCATTTAGAGTGATTTGTGGCTGATTGCAGGAGCGGCAATCACTCACTCACTGCTATACGAGCAGAGGCAGCTTTCTGGCTGAATGTACTCTAATGCAGCGTAAAAAAGCTAATGTGCATTCACATTGTTAGAGAAGAAAAACACATGAATAGATGCAGCCATTTTTAGCATAAATACGTAATATTGCTGGTTTGATCCAACTGCAAGTGGCTACAATTATCTCTGTTTTTTGAAAAGAAAAATGCCAAAGCTGGAAAATGAACACACTGTGCAGCTACATTGAACTCACCTTTAACATACAGACTAGAGGAGCTGGATAATTTTTTCAACCACTGACTTTCTGATTAGTTGATGATCTGCTCTATTTACTGAGCCTCTGCTGCTCACCTCTTTGTTTTGGTGCTGGAAACTTACTGCTTTTGTTACTCTTTGTTACTAATAGTGGGCAAAGATGGGCCTGAAAACACTTATGACAAAAAAACCACACTTTTAACAACTTGCTGTGGATCACTAAGTAGCATTTAGCATGCAAACAACCAGATATTTTCCCCATGAAGTCAAATTCAGTATTTAAATGGGCTGATATTTATTGAATTATATTATATACAACTTGCATGGCATGTTTCACCTGATAATGACTAAAAAGTAATTCATAAAGATATTTTAGAGCTTATTGTTTAAAGAAATATATACCAACAGCGCAAGCTAGCAGTCACTGGTCATCACTGACCTTCCCCTTGTCCTTTTAAATTTTAGAGAAAGAAGAAAATGGCAGGAGTTCGTATATATTCAAGAAGAAGTGCTTTGAGAACAACCCCTCATTACGAATATTCTCCATGTTGAATTAGAGGCTAGTTTCCTGCGTCACAAAAACCCAGCAGCGATGACGTCAAAGGTCTGCCTGGACTCTAATCTCCAAAGAAACACCCTTAACAGCCATCCACTTTTAAACTGCTTATACAATTCAGGACTGCAAGGGGCTGGAGCCTATCCCAGCTGTCATGGAGCGAGAGGCAGGGTACACTGTGGACAGATAACCTGTCTGTCACAGGGCTAAAACAGAGAGATAAAACCATTCATGTTCTCAGTCAATTTAGAATCTCCAGTTAACCTAACATGTACATCTTTGGAGTGTGGGAGGAAGCCAGAGGACCCAGAAAATTCCCAAGCACACTCGA